ATGTTTACGATGATGGACGAAAGTTCTGAGCGAGGGGAGGATAGGAGAGAGAGGAAAAGCCAGCACCTTCCGTCCTCGCATGCCAGGAAAAGCCAGGATAGGAGTGCAGGAGACAGGGGGACGGGGGTACAAAAGTTTGGTCATTGTCGGCCAAAACACCGTTGATCGCATTCCACGTCTTGCAGCACAGGCACGGCACGGGTTTCGCGCTATACGAATAAGTAAGGTTCATAGATTAAGAGAATCCACACATTTACTCCTGTTTTGTCTTCACTATGAGTTAACCGTCACAGGCACGGGTGCCGCGCAATGCGATAAGCGCGTGCAGGGCATGAGCACGTCGACTAGCCTGGACGGAAAGCACGAACCTAGTAAAATGCAGGATTAAGGAAGCTATGCACATGGGCAGAAACACGCTCCTGAAAACGCACCTCCACGGAAACGGAATCCCACCGCACAGAACCGCACCTGCACGTGGTAGAGAATCGCACCTGCACGTGGTAGAGAATCGCACCTGCACGTGGTAGAGAATGGCGACCTCTCGGCGCACGTCCTCGACATCGTCCTCCGTGAGCAGCTTGGACTTGGGGATGGTCTTGCATGCCCAGTGCACGCCCGTCTCTCGCTCCGTGCACACGTACGTCGTCCCGAACTGCCCCGCGCCCAGCTGCTGCCCGATGTCGAAAATGTCGTGAATGTTCTCTGATCGACGTGCAGGAGAGAGGATTCGGGGAATGATGCGGAGATAGGGTTTGTTCGAGTCGGGAATGGTGATTGGGGATGTAGAAAATGGTTGAGGGATATGTAGTGAATGCTTGGTGATAAGTGTCAGGAGGATGGAAAAAAAGGTTTGAATGTCACAGGAGGTGAAAGACGGATAGACGGATGGGAGCTCCCTGATAGACAGATGTGAAGAATGTTGGGAAATGCGGTGAGACGGTTTGCTCGAGACAGGAAAATGTTGTGAATGCGTTGTATTTAATGGGCATGAAGTGTTAGGGTTGGGGGGACATGTCTTGAATGTTGTCCGTCTATTTCCACAGGAGATGCAGCAGATAAGTATTGCAGTTGAAGCAAGAATGATTAACAAAAGTGCCTTCGATGCGAAATAAAAGTAGTCGTCGGAAATGCTGGGATCCTTCACTACTCACAACGAGATGGTTGGAGGAACTAGATGGTAATGAAAATGTCTTTCGCGGAAGAAAAAAACCTCAATCACGTACAACGAGCCGACATTGCAGACGTCGCATGATATCTCGTTTTGTGAAAATGGGTCGGGGGTAAAGTTCAGCTATTTAGAAGCGGGAGGTAATGGACGCACCATTATGGCCAGGCCCGAGCACGCTCTTTGTTGATGGTCTAGATGACTTTCCCTGCACCGGGAAACAAAAAGAGAGAATCGAACGGTCATTTCACGCACTGGGGAAACCACGGACGCCGTGAAGCACAATGTGCAGAATGCTAGAACACACCCGGCGCGGATACGCATCTTTGCTAAAAGTTAAGTGGTACGAGAACTGACAACCACTGTTTTTAAATAGGTTTTGAAGATGTGGCGACCGACAACGCAGTTTTTGGAGTAAAATAAGGAGCAAATCAAATACGCACGTCCATTTGCTCGTAAATGCATGCGCGAAGTGCTGGCAATGGAGCAAAGTCCTACATTATGTTGACATGCATCACTTACCGACGACATCCTGGAAGGATCGTCTGATTGCTCAGTCACAGCAGCAATCCGTTCAGGCCAGAAATTGCAATGGAGTTAACTATTGCCTCATACCAGTGACAAGATAAAGTTTGTAGCGCCTTTATGAATATAGACAGAAGCTACAACCAAGATTGTCGATGGAGGTAAGGGCAGGAGGTACTAGGGAGGTCAAGTGGAGTTATGCCAAGTGAGGGGCACAAGTGAACAAGGTGTGATGTGAAGAGGGAGATTGGTATGTCGTGCGTCTGCTGGTCCTCAGTTTCCACCAAGCTGTACGATATTATAACGTACTGTACCTTGACAAACCGCTATTGAACGCGAAATCTCGAGCCCGCCGAACAGCTCCCAAGGTCAGCGGAAAACAACGAGGGGGCGCGTGAGTTGGTGGTGGGGCGATGGCGGAACCTCGGTAGAGGAAGGGGAGATGGGGAGGGTGAGAGTTGCGGGAAAGGGGAGAAATTGGCGCGCCAGCACACATATGATTTGACCAGAGGCTTGATGGTTCTGTGGAGGGGGGAGAGACGAAGCGGAAGACAAGCGCAAGTGACAGGAACGCGGAAATGGTCTTGAGGGGATAGGCAAGCAGGACGGGGTAAAATTGTTGGATCGTTCGCCTCACGTTCGTTTATTTACGCGGTAGTATTAGGTTCTGTAATTTGGGTATCCGAAAATAGAGATTACAGTGCGGTGACGGATCGATATTTCCCCCGATGGAGCACTTTTGGCGTGTCCTTCCTTAGGGGGTGTTACAATGCGCTCTGGTCCATTTACAAGGAAATGGACCAGCGAATGCAAGGGGGCACCATTTTAGAGGGACCACTTCCAAAAGTGGTCCCGCGTGGTACCGGGGATCATTTGCGGCGGACCAGCTATGCACAGTGCATTGCAGCTTCGAAAACGAAGTGTTGACGAAAACAAAAGCGTACCTGGTCACGCTTCAAAAAGATGTCGCACACAGCAGATACCTTTGGCGAAGCAATCAAAGCGCAGTTCTCGCATGCGATTCCCATCGCCTTGGGGTCGCTCTGGAAATGGTCCTGCGTGTCGAGCGTCGTTTTCGTACGTGCGCCTCGCACTGTACATGCTGGTCCGTGGGCGGGTGCAAGTCGGGTCCACACCTGGGTCGTTCGCTGGTCCATGCTGGTCCGCGCAAATGCCCCTGGGCCGCAGCGGCCCAGCACGGCCCAGCGTAGTTCTTGCGCACATGTTACACCCCCTTACAGTCCGACGAAGGACCAGCCTGACACTGCTTCCATGGTGAGGTGAGACTGACGTGGCAGCGGAGATTTTGGATGTACCGTAATCAGACTGTTTGATATTTTGTTGATCTCGTAGCCCTTCGACCAAGGCAGGCTAAAACTTTCGAAATAATCGGTGTTATCGGGGACACGTCCACAACCACCAACAAGTCCCTCTAGCCACTGCGAACACCTTTCCCTTGCGCAAGGTTGCAAGTTACTAAACCTCGCAGATTTCCGTCTATTTCCGTCTACGGAACCAATGAAACACCCTTGAACTTCCAAAGTAACCCGCCCTCAAACCAGAAATTGTGATGCAAAGGACACCCCGTGCACACGCCCTTTCTTATTACACCTGGTCTGCGATATCCTCATGGAGTGGAACTCAGCTAGTCTTGCCATACTGATCGTATTCCGTCGAACCATGTGAGTCGAATTTGTTAAGCTGTGTATCGTTAACCACAAATCACAACCCTAGAGCACCCAAACCCAGTGCTTGTGCCTGGTTTCAAACCGAGCGTGAATATGAAGGTGGTGATTTTTTCCCAACAAACGCATTGTGAAACATCAGTCAGCGAAATCTGAAAATTTGCTTCTCTTAATAGCCTTGGTGGTGCTGTACCTAATTATTGTTGGGCTGATACGCCCTAGGATCTTTAGTAGAGTTAAAGTCTGAGTAAATGATGTAGTAGCGGAAGCGTTTGAAGAAAGTCCTTGAACCACCTTGCGCTAGTATGTGAGGGCAAAGTAAGTTGATTAAAGCAAAGAGATACAGGAATATATATATATATATGAGTACAGAGAATATGAAGAGACATAATTGTAAATGTTTTACTGTTGCGGTTCGATACAGTGCGACTCGGGCAACTGCTCAATGTCGAGTCAGTTGTGTGTCCTTGCTGTCGCGCTGCGTCAGGTCAAAGGTTGCTGACCTTTGACTTTCTCGTAACCTCCAGCGGTTACGTTAACCTCCGAGGGTTGACTCGCGGTGCTTCGATTTGAGCTGCTTCGCTTGTGTCTTGAGTTTCGACACGACGGAGGCGCTTAAGACTATTTGTTCCCAACAATTATTAGAGCATATTTTTTGCCCTTTCTCTCCAATGCTTATGGTCGTCTTGTTATTTCTTCCAACCCAATCCTATGATATCATCAACAATTCCAAGTACGCACCCCTCTGCTAAACGGAAATGTAAATGACAGAAAATTCTCTGTTGCAAGTCTCTTTCTGTGAGGAGTTATCACACAGTTTGCTGGCAATCCTTGAACTGTTAGTCAGAATAAGGAAATTCATTTCAGAGAATCCTAAGTGCGGTAGAATTCTACAAAACAACCACCTGTTTCAACTTTCAATGCGAGCGTGTATGAGCGGGGACACTCCCCCATGCACTTTCCAACACCAGGCATCCAGCAATGGCCAGGTGTGAGCACTGCAAAGCGCACACAAACCATCACTCCTGTTTTTAACACATTATAACCCACCCAACACAATGATACAAGCTGGGTGGCATTCTCTACCCTTGCTTATTTTATCCTCGCAACAACCCCGGTGAGGAACTGAGCTGGTTTTGATTGGTGGTTCACCTCACATGGTGTGGCAGACGCCAAGGTGGAGTGGGGAGGAGGCATGGATGGTGGTGATGGGGCAATGACACTGAAGCTGCAGGGGCAATGAGCAGATGTGGGGAAGGTGTGAGGTGCTGGAAAGGTGCTGAAAGGTGCTGAAAGGTGCAGGGACGCTGCTGGAAGGATGATGAGGTGGAACAACTCGTTGCCCTGGGGAAAAAACTTAGCCGGCGGATCGCTGCCTCGAAGCCCGTTGTATTGATTTGTGAAGGTACAGAGCTCAGGGGAGTCTCAACGTTCCATGGGTCAGGACAGTGGTGGGCACTTGCAGCAGTGAAACCATGCCACCATGCAACCATCCACCAGGGGAGAACTTGCTGCTCAAAAGTCCAGAGTAGCTGAGCTCTGACATGCTAGAATGCCAAGGCGCGTGATACCCCTCATGCTGAGTGCCAGGGCAGTTGGTTACGAACAGGGAGCACGGCCACCCCTCATGCTGTGGGCCGCGTCATCAGGGAGGCGCCCCTGCCGCCACTCATTGTGCCCGCTGGTGATACTGGCTCTGATGGGTGAAAATGGGAGGAGAGAAGTGGATGGGCAATGGGGTTGGGGAGACGAAGAGGTCAATAGGGAGGCACCCCTGCCGCCGCTCATCGCGCCTGCTGGTGATACTGCATGGCATGGCAAATCCTCAAAACAGAAAGTTGCAACCACCAAGAAAACCACCTCCAACACAACACAACACATCACATCACAACACAACGCAACGCAACGCAACGCAACACAACACAACGCAACACAACACAACACAACACAACACAACACAACACAACACCGTGTATACATCGTCCACTGTGGTGATCTCATAGATGCACTGCAGGTCATACCCATCATCACCTAGAACAACCTAGAACAACCTAGAACAACCTAGAACAACCTATAGCCTTCTCTCACCTGCGTCGCTCGCATCGCTTTCACTTCCTGCCGAGTCCACGTCCGACCCAACGGCCCCGGCCACACCAATGCACGTGAAGACACTGTTATCATCGAGCGGGATGTGGTTGTACACCGTGTACACATCGTCCACTGTGGTGATCTCATAGATACACGGCAGGTCCGCGATGCACGAGACCGTCTTGCGCGGCACGTAGTCGCACTGCAGGTGTGTGAGCATGCCCAGCCAGTAGGCATTGTCCTTGAGGTCGGATTCGTGCCGCATAATGAGCGTACGCTTGGCCTGTCCAGGGGACGAAGGGAAGAAAAAAGAGGTTGGGGAAAGGGGAAAGGAGGAGGTCAGACTGGCACTGCAGGTGAGTGAGCATGCCCAGACAGTACGCATTGTCTTTCAGATCCGACTCATGCCGCATGATGAGCGTGCGCTTGGCCTGCACAGGGGACAAAGGGTTGGGAACAGGGGGATTGGAGGAGTGGAAAAGGGTAAGGACGGCAAGCCACGTAGTCGCACTGCAGGCGTGTGAGCATGCCCAGCCAGTACGCGTTGTCTTTCAGATCCAACTCGTGCCGCAAGATGAGCGTGCGCTTTGTGTGTTACAGAGAGGGAAGAGGGTGGAGAGAGGAGCGGAGATGGGGGAAGAAGGTGAGATTGGCACTGCAGGTGTGTGATCACGCCCAGAGAGCATCATTGTCCTTGACGTCTGACTCTGCCATGCACCCATCTGCACCTTCACATGCACCCACCTTCACATCATATGTCAGGCCCAGGACATCTCAAACTGCAGACTGCATCAAATACGTAGGAGCGCCACTAACGCCCCACACACCCATACAAACGCCGCTGAACGCCCTCCCCACATACCCACACGAGCGGATCTCAGAGCCCCCCAGTCACACCCATGCAAGCGCCACTCCACACACACGTACACGCTCTCATCTCAACGCACCCGGTCCACACACACATACACGCTCTCATCTCAACGCACCCGGTCCACACACACGTACACGCTCTCATCTCAACGCACCCGGTCCACACACACGTACGCGCTCTCATCTCAACGCACCCGGTCCACACACACGTACACGCTCTCATCTCAACGCACCCGGTCCACACACAAGTCCACGCTCTCATCTCAACGCACCCGGTCCACACACACGTCCACGCTCTCATCTCAACGCACCCGGTCCACACACACGTCCACGCTCTCATCTCAACGCACCCGGTCCACACACACGTCCACGCTCTCATCTCAACGCACCCGGTCCACACACACGTCCACGCTCTCATCTCAACGCACCCGGTCCACACACACGTCCACGCTCTCATCTCAACGCACCCGGTCCACACACACGTCCACGCTCTCATCTCAACGCACCCGGTCCACACACACGTCCACGCTCTCATCTCAACGCACCCGGTCCACACACACGTCCACGCTCTCATCTCAACGCACCCGGTCCACACACACGTCCACGCTCTCATCTCAACGCACCCGGTCCAGCTCCCTCTGTGTGATGCGGTTCGCCTGCAGCCCCCTGAGAACGTTCAGGGAAGCTTCCACGGCCTGCTGGATCTTGGCGGGTGTGGAGGTGACGCTGATGCAGAACCAGCCGGTGGCGAGGCGGTCAAACAACGATATCTCAAAGTTGACATCGTATGTCAGCCCCAGGGCGTCCCGCACTGTCGTGAACAGGCTGTTGGTGTGGAGAGCGGGGGGAGGGGAGGGGGACGGCGGGGAAGGGGGGAAGGGGGCAGGAGGGAAAGGGGAAGTGGGAAAGAAGAGGAGGGGGTCAGCAAGGAGTGAGGAACGGGGATCAGAGGAAGAAGGGAGTGGGAGTGGAGGTGACGCTGATGCAGAACCAGGCGGTGGCGAGGCGGTCAAAGACAGACATCTCGATGTTGTCGTCGTACGTCAGCCCCAGGGAGTCTCCAACGGTTGTAAAGAGGCTGTTGGCACAGAGAGGGGCGGTGGGGGAGAGGGAGCGAGGGAGAGAGGGAGGGAGGGAAGAAATAGCAATGAGTGAGAGGTCAAGGGCGTCTCACACCATCTGGAAGAGTCTGTTAGTGTGGGCAGAGAGGGTCCCGGGGGGGGGGGGGGGGGGGGGGGGGGGGGAAGGGGTGGTGGAGAAAACATTTAGTTACCAGGGAGAGAGGACAACAGTTTCAAAAACTGTTGTGAAGAGGTTGTTAGGGAGGACACTGGGAGAAGGAAAGGATCCTGTCAACATCCTGTCCCTGCCCGCCACGCATTCACACCCAACCCCACACCCACCCGCGCCTCTACCCACAGCGCATTCACACCCACCCCACACCCACCCCACACCAACCCCACATCAACCCCACACCAACCCCACATCAACCCCACACCAACCCCACATCAACCCCACACCAACCCCACATCAACCCCACACCAACCCCACATCAACCCCACACCCAACCCCACACCCACCCCACATCAACCCACACTCCTAACGCACCGAGCGTTGACAATCTCCTGCAGCAGCAGCACGCCCACCGACGTGTACAGCGGGTGGCGGCGCCGGTGCCAGTACTTGCGCCCGTCGGCGCCCTCCACCACTGCTGTTCCCAACGGCGCCACCGCCACCGCCTGTGCATCTGCTCACAAGGGAAGATGCACATCCGCGCACGCACAACCACACAGGCACAAGGGGCCTTAAAGAGGTGACCTCTTGAGCTGAGCGGCATTGGAAGGTACTTGCGCCTGTCTGCCCCCTCCACCACTGCTGTTCCCCGCGGTGCCACTGCAAGACGGATGAATGGAATTTCAATTCCGGAAGAAAGCAGCAGAGGCCAGCTATCCTCGAGACATCTCGAACTAAAAAATACAAGAGGAGAAGATGGTCCAACACAAAGGCGAAAGAAATTGGCTACTTCTACCGGGTGGCGCGAGGGCGTGGGAAACAGGAGGAGAGCGGGTGAAGAAAGGGAGGAGCAGGGATGGGGAGAGGGAGGAGCGAGGGAGCCGTGAGACTGGACTTACCAGGGTCTCCTAAAAGGCTGCCCTCGCCCCTCCCACCACCTCCCGCTGCTCCCGCTCCTCCCGGTGCCCTTCCATTAGGGCTGTGCGTGTTGCCTCGCCCCATGGTGAAAAGGTGCCTCATTGCTCTCGCCAGCAGCGGGCCTTCATCTGCCATTGCTGCTGCTCGCGATGCTGGTGGTGATGGTGATGGTGGTGGTGGTTATGGTGATGGTGGTGGTGATGTTTTAATGGTGATGGCAGACTAGGCGATAGCATGCACTCAAGCGGTGTACACTGATACATGTAAAAACTATTACTAATTGTATCGACTAACTTCATCCACTATTACCTTGTGTGAGCACACTCGTGCAACCACAAGACCACGGCTTATGGCTTTGAAATTTAGTGGGTCCGGGTTCAGGGTTTTTAAGGCCACATATTCAGGTGCAGAGCAGTTGGAGCAATCTTGCATGGCTGTGCGCCCCGTACCTGCATCCAAACCTGTGGCACATGCTGTACCTGTGCAGCCAGGCGTATTCTTGAGTCGACTCAAAAACAACCTGTGGCGCGCGATGTACCTGTGCAGTCGGGCGGAATATTCCCAAGCACACACCCAATCAATCAGGCAGCTACCTGCGCACAGCTGTGGTGCGTGCCGTACCTGTGTAGCCAGGCGGAATGGGCTCCAGGATCGTGTTGATATCCCGCCCATCTGGTGCGAATCCCCACCGGTTAGGTGCCGGACCTGCGATGTAGGCTCGGGCCCTCTCATCTGTGTCTCGCAAGAGCACCTGGAGAGGAGGGAGAGGGGTTGGGCAAAGGAGGGCGAGGAGAGGGGGGGAGGGAAGAAGGGAAAGGGAGGAGGCATCTTAGAGAGCGAGCATGAAGAGGCGTCTGGAGGGGAGCATGCAGCAGGGGACAACCCTTTGTGCCTAAGCATCCTTGAGACAGGCAGCGCGAGAAGGCACAAAAAGACCACCTTGAATGCTGGCCCGTTCTGAGCCGTGTGTAACGCTGCACTCACTCGGCAGCCCTTGAATCGCACCACGGCCGGACCTTCAATTCAAGCACACCTTCTCATGCCCACACATCCGCCCACGAGATGAGACGACACATACATTCTAGCTGTGTACGAGACGAGACGAGACGAGGCTCACCTTGTGGTCATGCAGGGCAGGCGGGCACGGGGAGACCACCTTGAATGGCGGCTTGCCAGGAGGGCCAGCAATGGGGGGGGTGGGTGCAGCGGGGGCAGCACGGCGGCTTACCTTCTGGTCCCACACGCCAATGAGGTGCGTACCTTCTGGTGGCGCAGGGCAGGCGGGCAGGAAGTGACCATCTTGAAGGGCGGTTCCCCAGGGAGGGCGAGCACGGGGGGCGGGTGCAGCGGGGGCAGCACAGTGGTGGAGGGGGGCGAGGGCGTGGAGGCGGGGTTGGGAGGGAGTGCGGCGAAGGGCGAGACGACGTGGGCGGGCGGAGGGAGGGCGGTGACAGTGCCGAGATACTTGAGAATGTGGTCTGTCATCTCCTCCTCGCTGTAATCGCCCACTATGCTCAACTGCAGTAGGAGGGAGCATGGGGAAGGAGGGGAATGGATATGCGCACAGGTTAGAGGCAGCGGTAAAGGGTTGACAGCAATGGTGGGGAGGGAGCGCGGTGACTGTGGCGAGGTACTTGAGAATGTGGTCTGTCATCTCCTCCTCGCTGAAATCGCCCACTATGCTCAACTGCGGGTATACGGGGTACGAGACAGGGGAGGGAAAGAGGGGAGGAGAGGAGAGGAGAGGAGAGGAGAGGAGAGCGCATGGGTACTTGAGGATAAAGTCTGTCACCTCCTCGCTGAAATCGCTGTGCATGCACAAGGGGAGAAAGGGGGAGGAGTGGGGAGGAAAGGGGAGGTGGGATGGCAGAGGCAGCGGCAAAATTGGATGTCACAACATCATCAAAACCTTGTTCTTTACCTTCTCCGGAGCAAAGGGTAAATCGAGACAGGGCAAAACAGCAAGGGATGCAGATGTCATACAAATAACGCACCTCAATGTTCCCCGACAGCAGTTGCTGCATGACGGCATGGCGCACGGTGTCAAGCGTGAGGTTGGACACAATGGCGGGATGCGGGTCCAGCAGCCGTGTGTCCCCATCGAACATGGCGCCCATCAGCTTGCTCGCTGTCAGCCGCTCCAGACTCTTCGGGAGAGACCTGCAAAGAGTGATGGGGGTGAGCAGCATGAAGGGGGGAGGGAAAACGAACCGACAGCAAGGGTGAGGGAGACAGGAGGAACCCCCAACTCTTGAGAAGGAAACTGACCTGGACGGTGGAACATCCCTTTGCATGACGAGAGGAGGTTAGACGACAAGGGTGAGAGAGAGTGTGCTTCTCGAGCATGAGGCACCATAAGAGAGACATGTCAAGGGTCGTGGACGGGGGGAGAATTAGAATCCAGGGCGCCCAGCCAAAAGACTTATGGAGGGTTGTCGACAGACGCGGGGAGCTGAACAAGCATACAACGGGCTTTGGGATGACTCAAAACGCGACCTCAAGCAGCATAGAAGCACGGACTGCGCACCACACACCTGTAGAGGGAGGGAGACACGCAGTACAGGTCACACGACAGCAAGGGAGCGCCACGCACCTGTAGAAGGAGAGGTATGCCTGCTTGGCCCTCTCCAGCGCATCCTCGTCCCATGCCGGATGCTGCACGTGGAGCCGCGGGGGTGGCGGGATGGATGGAAAAGGATGCACGATTGTTTGGTACAGGCATGTACACCCTCTCTCACAGGTGTTTAGAAACTAGCACAGTAGTGCGACAACGAGAAGGAGCGAGGGAAGGAAAGAGTGCGACAAGAAGAGCAGATGCACTGCTCTGTGTCGCGGAGGACAGAAGTGAAGGAACCACAGAAAGGGGTTGTTTTTCTGTACAGAGACGAAATCATGGATGATGTGATTTACTTGGTGGGGAAGAGTGATGGCACATGAATGGCACCTCACCTGCAGGTGCAAGTCCATGCTCCCAGTTGCAGTTCACCACCATACATCCACCATTCAACCCACAGCACCATGACCGTACCACAACACCACATCCCACCTGCACCACCCCACCTGCAGAAGAATTTATCACCACCATCCCCCACATCCCACCTGCAGCAGCATGTGCAGGAGCTGGAAGGACGCTTTAAGGCCGCCGTAGCGTGTGGCGAAGTGCAGGTCGAGTGCGACGCACTCCTCATCCGCCTCCAGCATGCAGTTCACGAGATTCGCCAGGCAGAACAGCTCCACCTGCTCGCGGCTGTAGTCCCCAACGCGCCCCGCCTCACTGAGTGTCCTCACGCCCACGGCCACCTCGCCTGCCCCCTGCGGGTCCTCCTTGGCCCGCCCCCCCGGGAACACCAGCCGCAGCACCCCGCCCTTTGCCTCGTTGTCCGTCACCTGCTTGCAGTGCGGTGGGGTGGGGTTGGGTGGGGTATGGTGAAGTGGCGTGGGGTACGGTGAGCTGATGTTGAGTGCGGTGGTGTGGGGTGCAGAGGAGGGGAGCAAGCAGTGTGTATCAATAGGCAGGGGGTACAGGGAGTGCGATAGCACGGAAGAGCGCACCAGCCGCGGCACGCCACTACTTGCCTCCTCAAATTTCACTTGCGCACGGGTGGTGGAAAGGTGGAAGGGGAGTGTTGACACGTGCAATAAGTGCGCGGCATAGCATTGATCTGCTTGACCGTCCCATGGTCACACTGCGACCCCAGCCAGCCATCGTTCCTCACCACCCATCACGCCATGTTCACCGCACTCCACCGCTCCCCACCTTCATGTTGACGCGGATGCCGTTGCTGAGGCGGCGCTGGATGATGCCCGTCTCCTTATTGTACTGCCGCACACGCCACTCAGACGGCGCCACGTCAGCAGCGTTACCCTCCGTGGGCGGGAACGGCACGAATCGAGGCCGGATCTTCTGCTGCAACTCCGCCAGCTCAGCATCGGAAATGAGCGTGCGGGGGACCTCCACCTGGCATGGGAACAAGAACGGGGAATCCAAAATGTTAGAAAAGGGACCTCTACGTCGGATGGGGCCAAGAACGGGGAAGAGAGAGGGCACTAGCATCAACGTCAGCAGCTCAGCATCTCTCACCTTTCTGGTTTGACACTCACACCCCCTCTATTCACACCCCTTCTCAAACTGCCCCCTAATCAGACTTCCGAGCATGGCACCCTATCACCCAGATCTTGTAAGGCCTACCTGACTTGACCACTCCCCACCACGGGCCCCACTGCCTTGCACCCCACCCCTCACCCTGCTTGGCATTGCTCACCACCGCGCTGCACTGCTCACCTCGTCCTCGGGCTGCACGTCTTCCCTGAGCCCTGCCAGCAGCGCATCCCTTACCGCCTCGGGAGTCACCTCAAACACCACATCACTCGCTGTCGCCCCTACCCCCGCCCCTGCTCCAGCAGCTGCAGAGGAAGAGCTCTGCACCATCGCCCCATTCCCGCTCCCGCTCCTCTCCTCTCCCTTCTCCCTTCCCCCCTCGCCCCCCTGCACGTGCATCCTCGTCGGCACGCACACCACAATCGCAGCCGGTCGCGGCGCCTCCGCCTTCCCATACTCCGCCACAAACTCCAGCACCTCCGCTGCTGCCGCATTCACATCCTCCAGCTCAATCGTCGGCGCGATGGCCGACAGGCACTCAAAGCTCTGCTCGGGGTCCAGAACCGCATGGCCCAGGGCGAAACTCTCCATGAGAAAATCCAGAGAGTCGATGGAATGAATCGCGTCCGTCATAGCTGCATTGTGCTCACTGTCGCGCAGCATGGTGGTGACGTAGCGGGCGAGCTCGCCGCGCGTGAGGCCGAACTGCTGCAGGCGCCGCACCTCCTGCAGGGCGACGGTGAGCGCAGACTGCCAGTCCGTGGGCTCCGCTGTGACTGTGAGCGTCGTGACGGTGCACCCCTCCCTGGCACTGTCGCTGTGATCCAGGTCCACTCCTAGGAAGGGCACTGTGCCGTTCTGAAAGTCAACAGGGGAGGATTCATGGGTAAAGGAGAGAGGGAGAAAGGGAGGCGCACGGGAATGCAGGGTGAGATGGAGGGTGAGTGGGGCGATTGTGACCAGCAGGCGATTGCCAGCGTGACTGTGAGCGCGGATTGCCAGTCGGTGGGCTCCGCTGTGACTGTGAGCGTGGTCACGGTGCACCCATCCCTGGCGCTGTCGCTGTGATTCAGGTCCACCCCTAGGAAAGGCACTGTGCCGTTCTGAAAGTCACCAGGGGAGAGTCATAATTTGAGGAGCCACGGGCATGCAGAGAGAGATGGAGAGAGTGAGCGTGATGACGGTGCAACCCACTCGCTTAATTACCGCTTGACGGTGCAACCCACTCGCTTAATTACCGCTTGACGGTGCAACCCACTCGCTTAATTACCGCTTGACGGTGCAACCCACTCGCTTAATTACCGCTTGACAGTGCAACCCACTCGCTTAATTACCGCTTGACGGTGCAAAGCCAACCAGGCAGAGGATGTAGGGAGAGAGAATGGTAAGATGGAGCAAGATTGCTTTCAGTCGATACAAAAGGCCTGCTCACTTTGTACCAGTCGCAGCTGCCTCACCTTGTAGCGCGGTTGTTGATTCCCAACTGCACGGCTGAGCACGATGCGCTGCACATTGTTGAGTCGACTGAAAAATTGCCCACCTTGTTGTACCAGCCGGTCATGGCTCACCCTGTGGCCCTTGCTACCAGCTCACGCTCACCTTGTAGCGGTTGTTGATGCGGAACTGCAGCGCGTTGAGCACAATGCGCTGCATCACAGCACGCCGCAGGTCGCCCAGCGTCTGCACCTGCTTCACTGGGTTCTGGTGGGGGCGCGGGGGTGTGCAGGGTGTCGAGCAGGGAAGGAGTCGGCATGAATCAAACGTCGGGGTGACATGGCCATACAAGGACGGGCAGAACCACGATTCAACAGCGCACCTTACAGAGCATGGTGAGGGAGAGAGGTTTTGCAGCAGCCCGTGTTGAAACCTCGCTCACGAGCACAACGACCGCCACGTGAGATGAGACGACGATTTCTGAGTCGACTCAAGAATCGTCTGAACGCTCACGAGCATAACCAACCACCTCCTCCCTGCCGCTGCCACTGCCTACTGTGCTGCTAATTCGTTTTTACTACTCCCTGCTAAAACACCAACTACTCCCAGTGCCCGCACTGAACCACGCGCACTTTACAGAACATGGTGAGGGAGAAGTTCTGCAGCAGCTCGTGTTGAAAGATCACCAGCATCACCATCCCCTCACCTGCCACCCCCCCTCCCCTCGCGGCTGCCTGCTGCTAGTTGGTTCTTGATCATTCTCAAATACCAACTACTCCCACCCAGTGCCTGCACTGCACCACGCGCACCTTACAGAACATGGTGAGAGAGAAGTTCTGCAGCAGCTCGTGTTGAAAGATAACTGGCATCACCACGCCCTCCCTTGCTGCTGCCTGCTGCTGCACCGCTGCTGCTGACGGCACCACCGCCGGGGGCAAAAACCCCTCTCCCCCCGGCCTTCCCCCTACGTCCGCGCCTTCCCCCGCACTCCCCCCCGCGCTCTCCCCCTCCAGGTGTTCTCTCGCCCACGTGTGGCGCACAGGCGGGCGCACAGCATGCCTCTCCTTGCGCACAGGACCGGGGATGGTCGCGGGGGAGGCGTATGGGGAGGGGGACTCGGCGGAATGGGGGTGCAGGGCGGAGAGCGCGGAGCTGGGGGGGACGGCGGGCATGGTGGGGGAAGTGGCGGGGTGCATGGGGGGAGTGAGGCTGGGCGCGGAGGAGGCGGAGGCGGGAGTGAGGGAGGGCGCGGAGGAGTGGTGGTGTGAGATGGAGAGGGGGAGAGTGGAGGAGTGGACGGAGGGGGAGTGGGCGGGGATGGTGGGTGTGGGGCTGGGGGGAGGCGGCATGTGCATGCCTGGGGGGGTGCGACCAAAGTGCTCCTGACAGGGTGGGGGGGGAGACCCAGGGAGCAGCAGAAAAAAGACCGAAGTAGTGAGTTGATGGACAGGAGTACTGGGGATTCACCAGCGGTCGTGCAAGGAGGTGAGCCAGGACCACACACACACCCAGTGATTCACCTTTAATACCTGCCAGCCCACATCCGAATCGAGCAGTTCTCTCACCTCTCAATGAGCCGGATGATATCTGTGGAAGGCTGTGAGTCGCACCAACCCCTTCCCCTCCGCTGTGGCTTACCCAGTGAACCACCTCGAACCCAGCCACTCACCTCAATGAGTCGAATAATATCCGATACAGACGCGAGGTCCCCCACGACATAGAGCATAGCGTTAGCCGAGAAGTACCAGCGGCCGTGGAAGGCGGTGAGTCTACCTGTGAACAACCACCCACTCACTCACGTCAACGAGCCGAATAATGTCCGCGACTGATGCCAAGTCCCCCACCACGTACAGCGTGGCGTTGGCCGGGAAGTACCAGCGGTCGTGGAAGGCGCGGATCTGATCCACCTGTGAACTACCTCAAAGCCAGGGAGCTCACCTCAGGGCAGGCAGAGCACCGTCGTTCGCTCACCTCAATGAGTCGGATAATATCTGACACAGACGCCAGGTCCCCCACGACGTAGAGCGTGGCGTTGGCCGGGAAGTACCAGCGGTCGTGGAAGGCGCGGATCTGATCCACCGGCCACTTCTTCACCTGCTCCTCCTGCCCTATCGGGAAACGACAGCTCAGCAGGTTCTCCGAGTGCATGTGGTGCAGCAGCTGCGAGAAACGGTGGACGCGCGGAGGATTGGGAAAGGGCGCGGGGGACGTGGGGAGGGGTGACGGGAGGGGTGAGTGGGAGGAGAAAAAAGATGGGACGAGAAGAAGGTGGTTAGTGGGGAGGGAGAGAAGAAGGAAGGAGAACAAGACGAGGACGCATGCATACAGTGAACGGGCGCCAGCGCCTCGCCTCACACGCCTCATATTTGGGCGACTCTTGAGGCGCCTCTTGAGGCGACTTTTGAGGCGCCTCAAAAGTCTTTCCACTGTCCAGCGCCTCGCCTTCCACGCCTCAAATTTGGGGGCATAGTGGCAGCGAGATGGCAGGCCTGGTGCCAAAAAATGACCAATAATGCACCTGACAGCAAACACAGTTCCAGGGAACTCAACCAGCAGCACCCACCTGGCAGTCAACGCGGTACTCACCTGGCAGTCAACGCGGTACCCACCTGGCAGTCAACGCGGTACTCGATGGTGTTCATCATCTGCATCTCCGACAGCACGGCGCGCCTCTCCTTGTCAATGCGCGACGGCAGGAACTTGGGCGCGAACGCGATCTCATGCAGCGCCGCCAGCACCATCGGCAGCATCGGCTCCTGCGAGCCCTGGGGAGAGGAGGAGGATGAGGATGAGGATGGGGAGGGGGAGGGAGGGACGGGAGGGGGGAACAAGAGTGGCAAGGGAGAATGCACAGGGTGAGAGCAGTCCAAATGCGATCTCGTGCAGTGCTGCCAGCACAATCGGCAACATCGGCTCCTGCGAGCTCTGGGGAGCGGAGACAAAGGGGGGAGACTGGGCGGGCGGGATGGGGGGGGGGAGAACGATACATTATGATATCGCACAATCTTGTGCCGCCTCGAGTGTGGTGTGGGGTGGTGTATCCACCGCACACCACGCCAACCCACCCCGCCGCACCCCATCCCACACCACACACACCCCAACCCACCCCACCCACTTGCATGGTGACGGGCGCGTGCATGCGAATGACGGTGTAGGCGTTGGAGCGCGCGCCCGTGCCCAGCAGCTTCTCGCGCTTGCTTATATCCCATGCACCCCACCCCACCACACCCCACCCCAACCCACCGCACCCCTCCCCACCCACCTGCATGGTGACGGGCGCGTGCACGTGGAAGACGGTGTGGTGGAAGTCGGTGTAGGCGTTGGAGCGCGCGCCCGTGCCCAGCAGCTTCTCCCTCTTGCGCGACCCCAGGAAGGTGACGTGCTCGATCAGATGCGCCAGGCCCTGCTCGTCTTCCCTCTCGTCCACCGACCCTACGTGCATCTCCAAATGAGCCTCGAACCTGGCGTTCGGTATGAGGGGAAAGGGGACGTGAACGAGGAAAGGGGGGAGGGGAATCATGGCAGAGACCCCAGGAAGGTGACGTGCCCGATGAGGTGCGCCAGGCCCTGCTCGTCCTCGCGCTCGTCCACCGACCCCACGTACATCTCAAGGTGCGCCTCGAACCTGGTTGACCAACGGGAACTAGAGAAGGGGGAACGAGAATGCGGGAAGGGGGTAACGAAGCATGGGTTGGGAGGGGAGCAAAGAGCCCTCGATGAGGTGCGCCAGGCCCTGCTCCTCCTCTCTCTCATCCACCAACCCCACGTGCATCTCGAGGTGCGCCTCGAACCTGGCGTGCGGCATGAGGGAAACGGAACTTGAATGAGGTAAGGGGGAAACGGACCTTGGGTCGGGAGGAAAGCAAAGAGTCTAGGAAGGTGACGTGCCCAATAAGGAGCGCCGGTTCATGCGCGCGCCCCCGCTCGTCCCCCTGCTCGTCCACCGTCGCAACCACCAACCTGTTGGGCGGCAGTTTGTTGGGCAGGATGACGTATCGCAGCCCGTTATCGAGCATGCCGCGGTGCACCTTCGGGTGGCTCGGAAGCCGCTCGCTCAGCAGCGCTTCCACCTCCGCGCGCTCCGCGTCCGACATCGTCACCCGCTCCGCCTCCCCGCCCGCCGCTTCCCCCATTTCCCCCTCCTCGCCGGCGTCGTCACCTAGGTATTGCCCCTTCTTCCCCTCCTCCTCCTCCTTCATTCGGCCTATGATTTCCACTAGGTTTCCCAGCGCCGGCAGAATATCCGCCGGGATCGGCGGCGACGCGGACGGCGCGGCTTGCGGCTCGGTGGGGCCCTGCGACGCTTGCGACTGCGACCGCGGCGACACGGCCAGGCGGCAGCGGCGGGAGAACCGCGCGCCGGCTGCGGAGGGTCCATCAGGGCTGCGGGGGAAATCGGCGCGAGAGCCGGCGGAAGGCGGAGTGGCGCGGGGAAGAGAGCGAGCGACGGGCGTGCGCAAGGTGCGGCCGAGAAATTCGGAAGAGGCGACAGCTTCACGTTGCCGCCGCTGTTGTTGCTGCACGCGAGTTCTTTGTCCGAGGTGACTATATTGAAGGGCGGAAGAGGACGAGGAGGTTAGCCTGGTGCTGCTGCTGCTGCTGCAGCGGCACCCGGAAGGGGTGTGAGAAAGCGTGGGGTGCGCGATGCCTGCTGAGGGACGAGTCGCTCGGGTGGGCCTTGTCCGCAGGGAATGTCTGGCTTGGCCTTGCCTACTCACGCAGAGATTCGAGTCGAGCAAAAGGGAACAAAAACGTATGTAATCAATGGAAAACAGGCAAAAAGCAGGGTGAGTATAAGTCTTAAGAGAACGTACTAAGAGGAGAGGATGGAGCAAAGAAGGTGGATCAAGGAGAGGGCGACATAACGAGAAGTAGGCTTTCGCGGTGAGAAACGGACCTTAAAAGTCAATCATACTCTTGGAACGAAAAAGACTCGTAATGGTAAAAAAAAAAATCCCGAATTTGGATTCATCAAAGATGAGATTCCAGTCGCAACTGGCGCATTACCATTGCTGTGCGACGCCTAGTCGTCTGACGGCGGTAGTCTTCGCAAGACTACTAGAGACACTGTAAACGGAGGAAGATGGCCTGAACTTGACGGAATTAGGTTGGCTTCGCTCGCTGGCGATCAGAGAGACGCCCTTCCTCTGCACGCATGCTGGCACGCCGCCTGCGTGGGCTAAGGAAACGGCCAAGGACATCGCGGGGAATAACTATCTAAAGTTCTCGCAAAAGCCTGCCAGAATGTGCAACTCGAAGATGATCAGAGCAGGCGTTCCACTCGTCCACACTCCCGCTCTTCGCCAAACGCCGTTTCTAATAGTGGCCTGTTTGGAGAAGGCTGTCGTGTCCAGCTGCGTCTGTTTTGAGTGAACTAGGGTTTGTTGCTCCACTCGTCTTCTCTAGGCGAACTAGTGAAGGCGGAGGGGAAGGGGAGGTGAAGCACGGATAGGGATTGGATCAGTGGATGGTGCACTTCACTGCAGGATGCAGGCCGTGAAGTTGTGGTGGCGACGAACTCGACTCTCAAAAAACAAATCTTCCTGCTACCATTGGTGCGGAACAAGGCGGAGCGGATCTATCACGAATTCTGTTCAGTACTGTGTAAGGGGCCATTCTTACTACGCATCCCTTTACGTGTCAGACTTCGGGACCCGAAGTCGGAACACCCGAAGCAGCTCATCACCGATTTTGACAGGAACATCGAGCAATCTCTGACCCGAAGTGGGAGCTATTTGACCCGAAGTTAGGTCTCGACTGAAGTTTCAGGACTATAGAATACGCTTGCAAGCTCTTGGTGTCCTATCTGACACAGAACCCGACCGACATCAACGGTCTATTTCTGCTGCCGCGTGTCAAAACCAACCACAGCCGAAAAGAGCGGGCTCGGTACCCTGACAGAACACGAGACGGAGTGTTTTCACTTTTGTGCTGACACAAGTTTGAATCGAGGTTCGCTTGCGGAGCGACAAGAGTTGTCCAGTGGGCCAATGAGGGGAGGTGCTCAGCGGAATTTGCTCCAGGTCAGCGTGGCAAGAGGGAACGTGACGTGGGCCCTTTCCTTTGACGCCATGTGGCAGTGATTTTGCACATGTTCATGAATGAAAAGGCAGTGTTTGTGGCAGTGTTTGTGCATATTCTGGGTACCCAATAAGCATGAACATAAAAAACTGTCATTAAATACTGATATTACCCTAGTTTGTTACTTCAAAGAGACATCAATAACTGTTTCCAATTCAAATTGTAGGCACCCATCGCATACATACTTACCCATCCTATTTTGGCGCTTGTTGTACGCTTACCATATTCTGAGTTCTTGTTTGGACGTTCTATTATAAGGAATTTTCTCAACATTTCTTAGCGCATCCTGCAACATCGCGTACAGCAGCAGCCGTTGTTCGCCCGTTACTGCTAACGGTGCTTCGCCGACTTCGCGCGCACTGTTTCACCAAACCATGCACCCCTTGCCCGACCGTGTCGGCCTATGCTTCGGGACTAGCCCAAGCCTCAATGCCAGCCTAGCACTAGCTAGCTCGTACGCACCGCACTACCGTTTGCATGTTTCGCGTATAAATGTTCGCTCATGCCTTCGCTCACATTTTGTACTCGTTTGACACTTAGTGCAATCCTCGCTACCCCGATTCATTGCACCCGTAACATTTAGTATTCAGAGCTAGTTTCTTTTCGGATCGCGCATCTCCACACCCCATGAAATCCACTTTTGTTTTTTCACTCGAAGTGCCTCACGCACCTTAGCCCCTAGGAGCCGCTGTCCTCGCGTTCTCTCGTAAACGCGTGCAGCCATGACTGCGCGTAGACTAAGAAGAGCTGACGCCCTTCGTAGTGGCCGAACACGTCGACGTCACCACCCTCACGCATGAGCGTCTGAACGAACTGCTGCAGTAACTTCGCGAAAGCTCTGAGGAAATCGCGGCGCTGACGGCAGAACGCACGTCCCTGCAAAACGACGTCGCACGAGCACAGGAAGTACAATCTCAAGGACCTGGCACGCCGGAACAACCCGCATCCCAGGCATCGCAACATGGAAGTGTGGGGCAACCCGCGAGTGCGGCTAGTGATGGCATCGTCCGCCACGACGGAGACGACGGCCACGGCACGACACACCATGAGGCGACGAATGCGACCCAAAGCCAGCCACGCATTGTCAAACTATATATGTGCTAGTTTTGTGTAGGCTATAGTAGGGTAGCCTGTATGGGGTACAACCCAATGTTAGGTTTAGTACGTGTACCCACAATCTTTTCAATGCAGTCATTCTAGCTTCTCATTCGGACATGGTATCAGAGCAGTAGGTCCGTAGGACCGTTTTTTTCGGGCCCACCATTTCGACTGCGGTTATCGCGTTACGCCACTACCATACCCCGCGTTGCGCTGCCCCGCGCACGCCACCTGCGCGCTGCCCCTGCTGGCCGCACGCCACTACTGCAGCGCGAGTTTTCTTTAGCGCGCTGCCCCATCTGCGCCCCGCGCGCCTTCTGCAGCCCTGCGCGCCGCCTGTAGCCCCGCGCGCCGCCTGCCCCTGCCGCGGCTGCCTGCTACGCGCCACGCGTCATCTGTCGCACTGCCCCGCAGCCCCGTACGCCGCCCGCCTTGCTGTTGCGGCGCCCACTACGCCCTGCGCTCAGCCCGCCCTGCTGCCCTGCTGGCCGCCTGTAGCCTTGCGCGCTGCCTGCTATAGCCGCGGCCGCCCGCTACGCCCAGCGCGCCGCCCGCCCTGCTGCCCCGCCGGCCGCCTGCTGCCTCGCGCGCCGCCTGCCCGCGCTGCCCTGCACTCTGCCCGCCCTGCCAGCGCTCTAGCCACTGCTACGCTGCTGCAGCTGCTAGCGCCGCACTGCCCCGCCGCGCCCGAGCCACGCTGCACCGCCCGAGCCGCGCTGCACTGCCCGAGCCACGCCGCCCTGCTGACCCTCACTGCGCTGCCTAGTTGCCTGGCAGACCGGTTTCTACTGCTGCACTGCTGCTTCTACTGCTACTACTGCTGCTACTGATGCTTACCTGCAATCGCTCTGCCCTGCCAGTCCCGAGCCAGCAGCTATGGTCACCCTTCGCGTTCTGTCGTTCGATACTGAGGGCCGCCCGATTCAGTTTGAGACCTGGCTCGATGACCTGCAACTGTTCCTAATGAGCGATGGCAAGGATAATGTCTCTCTCTCTTTGACCACACGTCTGGTGCCTCAATCGCTCTCGCTGCCACAGCTGAGCTTAGTGCTTGTTCCCAGTGGCAGACTCGTGACGCTGCAGCTCGCCTAGCCATTCGCAACCACCTGTCGTTAGCCAAACTCACGCATTTTGGCGAGCACAAAACCGCTAAGGCCCTGTACGACGCTGTAGTTACTCAATACTCCTCCCCTGCCACTGCTGCACTTAGCCTCCTCATGCTGCCCTACCTGTTTCCAGAGTTGTCCACCTTTGCCACAGTTGCCGATCTTATCACGCACCTTCGCACTAGTGACACTCGCCTTGGCGTCGCCCTCCCCAAAGAGTTCTTAGCTAAGAACCCGCCTCCGATATACTCGACCCTCCACTTTATAGTGACCCGTCTCCCTGACTCTCTTCATTCGGTCAGGGACCACTTTCTCGCTTGCTCTCCCACCGATCTCACTGGCGACCTCCTAGAGGAACAGCTTCTAGCCGCTGAGACTAGCATAGTCGCTGTAGGTGCTGCTCGTGGCGCTCCTTGCACCCCCATCGTTGAGGGATGCTCTCCCTCTCCCCTCGCCTCCTCCTACACTACTGCCGCTGCAGTTGACTTCCTTGGTGCTGAGTTTGTTGCTGCTGCTTCTGCTCCTAGTGGGAGGCACAGCAACAGCAAGGGCAAGGGAGCCAGAGTAGCGGAGGTGGCACCAGGGGGGGTGGTGGTGGAGGAGGTGGCGGAGGGAGTGGTGGCGGGAGTGCTGGCGGGAGTGGTGGCGTCGGTGGCGGCGGTGGGAGTGGCGGTGGAGGCGGTGGCGGCGGAGGGGGTGGCGGCGGCAGTGGCAGCGGTGGTGGCGGTCGGGGTGGCGGTGGCGGCGGCGGTGGCGATCGGGGCGGAGGCACTAGCGCTAGCCAGAGACAGCAGCAGCAGCAGCGTCCCCGTGAGGCTCTTACGCTTCAGCAGCTTCGTGAGTGGCTTGCTCAGCGTGGGACGTCTAGGGGTAGTGGTCGCTGCCCGTATGTCATTCGCACAGGTGACTGCGCTGGCCAAACACGTGGGAAGTTCCACTCTAAGCACCGCTGCTTCTCCCGCCTTGACGACACCTGGCGTGAGGAGATGGGCGAGGAGGTCGAGCGCCCTCGCTGGCATGAGCTGCTTAGGGCTGGTGTAGACATCTTTGCTCTTAACTATGATGCTATCCTTGCTGCCATGTATGCATTGACTGTTAGTGCTGAGGGAGACTGCTATTTGTGTGTGCCGCCTGACCCAGGTGTAGAGGCTTCTGCCTTAGGTGCGAGCTAGTCTGCTCTCTTAGGTACTACGCCTGCTGAGGCCTTGCACACCTTCACGCTTGACTCAGGTGCTTACCGCTGTTTCTTTTGTGACAGTACTGCACTCACACCACTCACTGCACCTGTTGCAGTCTCTCCGGCTGACCCCTCAGGGGGCCCAGCTCTTACACGGTCGCTCCCGTGCCCGGCGGTTCCGTCTGGCTCACTAACAGGCCTCCACCTCCCCTTGTTCTCTACGAACTTGGTGAGCAACGCAGTTCTCCAGGACTAGTGGGTTTACATCTTTACCCCTGGAGGACAGCGTGTGGCGATCTGTACGTGCTCCCGGACTGGCCGCCACCTGACCACGTTTACCCGTCGGCCAGGGTCGAGTCTTTAAACACTGACGACTACGCATCCTTAGGTAGCTGCTTCTGGTCAGGTGTCTGCGTCAGGTCAGGTAGCCTCCCCTTGTTCGTGTTTCTCCCTGTCGTACCAGACTTTTCTCTGGCACCACCGTCTGGGTCACCCCTCCTTGCCACGTCTATGTGACATGCACCGTTGCCTCCTTGTGTCTGGTCTTCCCAGGTCTCTCCCTCCCCTCCCTGCCTCGCCTGCGCAGCCCTTCATTCCTTGCGTCGAGGGGCGGCAGCTGTGAGGATCTGGGATCGAGCTCAGAAAAGATGATTCAAATTGAATTGAATGATCACCTGGGTACAACACGAGGCTATATATAGGCTCGACACAAGGCCCCGTAACCAGGTGTTACGCGAAG